GACGAGAGCTGCGGCTGGGATCTGCAGCGGAAGCGACGGCTAGGGTTTTTTTTCAGATTCTGGCGGCTAGGGTTTTTCAGATTCTAGGGTTTTTCTAGCTCTGATACCATGTAGTTTTGTGAGAAGGGTTATATTTTTCTTATTCTCATTACAACCCATTTAGGGGTAAATATACAAGAAGACCTTTCAACAAATAAGGAATTAATCTAAACCTATAAGGAAAACAATAAAATTACAGAATATACAGAGACATAATGTAAATTCTAATAAGGAAAAAACTTAATTTACGGCTTGATTTTCTACAGGTGGTCCTCCCAAAAACAGAACAGGGCCTTCATAGCTGAGATTGAAGATGAATAAGGGAAATATTTTGACCAAAGAGACAGGGCTGATAACCTTCGGTTTTTCCCCTCCTTGTTAAGTTCGACAGTGGACCAGTGCTTGCTCTTAGATAATATGGAGTGGGTTCCCTTCCAGTGGCCCAAAGCTCACAGTTAACTGTCCCCTTTTCAGAGGCGGAGATCAGCAGGGCAGTGAATGATTTGGGAACCTTAAAGTCTCTGGGTCCAAATGGGATAAGCAACGAATTCTTGAAAAAGGCTTGGAACATCTTTAAATCCGATTTGGTGAAGGTGTTCCAAGATTTTTTTGAGAAAGGGATAATAAACAATAGCACAAATGAAACCTATATTTGTCTCATCCCAAAAAAGAAAAATCCTTTTTCGGTGAAGGATTATAGACCAATAAGTTTGGTCTCCTCCCTGTACAAGATAGTGGCAAAGGTTCTTGCAGCCCGCCTGAAGAGAGTTCTACCCTTGATAATCTCGGATTCTCAATCAGCTTTTGTAGAGGGTTGCCAGATCATGGATGCGATTTTAATAGCCTCAGTGGCAGTGGGAAAGGTCAATACTATGGATACTCTTAAGAAGAAAACACCTTCAATGATGTTGCAACCTTTGATATGTTCTTTGTGTAAAGCAAGTGGGGAGTCACAAGGGCATGTTTTCTTTTTTGCCCCTATTCGGCACAATGTTGGAAGTTTTTCTTCTCATTATTCAACATGTCATGGGTTTGGGATTTGGAAGTCTCCCATAATATTCTTCAGGTTCTTTATGGTTTGCGGATCAATTCTAAAGCCAATCTCCTTTGGATCAATGGTTTTAAAGCTATCATCTCTGAATTGTGGTTCGAGAGAAATCAAAGAATATTTGAAAGTAAAAGTCGCTCTTCTCTAGATTGTTTCTCAATCGCAAAGTTTAAAGTTTCTCAATGGTGTGTTCTTTCCGATATCTTTTCCTCTTCGATATCTTTTCCTCTTACTCTCCTAATATGCTATGTATGAATTGTGAGGCATTTAAAACTCCCCCCTAGTGGTGTCCTTTAACTTTTGTTGTTTATTCTGTGTTTGTCTCTTTTATTTTTCTTCACTCCTCACGGATTTTGTATCTTTGAACATTTTTGTTCCGTTCCTTTTCATTAATCAATGAAAAGTTCGTATCTTGTTCAAAAAGGAAAAAAAAACATTGAGGATGAGTTGTTTTCGAAGAGGGAGGGAATTGATGTAGTCAAATTAGGAGCAGCGTTGTAGTTTTGTTTTTGAGTTTGCCCCTGTTGTTAGTTTCTAGTTATTAATTTGTTTTAGTTAGTTTCTTAGTAATTGGTTTACTTAGCTATAAATGGGGGATTGTCTCTTGGATTTTTACTACTTTTTGAATAGTATTTTGAGAGACTATTCTCTTTGATGCCAGATTATATTAGTTTCTATTGGAAAATTAAATTGTTAGGCCTTGAGTTTTTTGTTCCATATTCTCAAAAGTTGCAATTTAGTTCCCAAATTTTAGGAAATAGGTCAATTAAGGTCCTCATTTTAGTTTTTTTGTAATGATTGTTGACACACTAATTTTTAATTCATTTATAACACGGGCATATTAAAAAATATCCCAAGCTACCTTCGAGAGAGTCATTGACACACTAATGATTGTTGACACACTCTATCAAGCTACCTTCTTCTGATCCCTAAATCCCAAGCTTGAGACTCTGTCCTTCAACAATCAGTTATGAAAGCCTCTTTTTTAGAGGATAAAGCATAAAACTCTGAGAAAGTCATCGAGAGAGCAGCCTCCATTACCCAAGCATCTTCCCAAAACTGGTCGATTGCCATTGTCAACTTTGAACTTCACAAACGCCACAAAACTGTCCCTATATTTATCACCACCCATGATTTACCTCTAGCTGATCCTTTGGCACCATTCATGACACTACCCCATATATTGTCACAATGACTCCTCCTAAGGCTCCTATCCTCTTGAGTAAATCTTGAAAGCCATTTAAGGAGGGTTCTATTTCTTTGCTTAAGAGATCCCGTCCCCAACTGAAGCGTATGAAGGGAAGCATAACTCAATCTCACTAATTGACTCCCTGTTCTGTAGTGATCCTTGCTACATATGAAGTTCGTCTTCAATTTTTATATATTGCCCATCACTTTGCTCGGAGCTTCTTAATAAGGAATAAAAAAAGTAGATAGGCGGCCCATTTAAAGCAGACTGATCCAGATTGAGCCTACCACCCTTAGCAACAAGCTCCATTTATTCAATGAGGCTAAAGATAAAGAAATTTCTTGTTTACCATCTGATGATGACTCATTGCGAGAGTTATTCAGTGAATGTTCGGTCCCCAAAAATTTGTCAGATTATTTCAACCAAGTGGGCATTACTCTTGTTCTGTTATACAGAGCTAAACTTCTTTTTCCAAGACGACACGTTGTTCTTAGCTATGTTTCACATTTTTTTTGAGGTTTTGGTTTGCTATTCATTTGTTAGGTTTTGTTAAGTTGGAGTTGTATTTAGTTCTGGTTAGTTTGGTGGTTTTCTTTCTGGTTTTTTGGTTTGTTTTTGGTTTTTTCTTATGGGAGCTGTTTTGGTTTTTTTGTTTGGATAGTAGTTGGTTTTTGTTTTTCTCCTTTTGGAGGTTGTATCCTTGAACACTTTGTATCGTTTCATATTATCAATGAAAAGTTGTTTCTCGTTAAAAAAAAAAAAAACACAAACTCGATTTATTCAGTCCAGCTCTGAACTTATCAACTAAAGGCTCCCAGAAAGACAGATCTCTCTTATTACTTCCAAGAGGAAAGCCAAGGTAATTAACCTGCAACCCTTCCATTTAACAACCCAATTGCAGAGCCATACTTTCCTCATTGGGCATAACATATACCAATCAAATAAGTCTTCGAGAGGACATACCCAACCCATGAAAAGAATCTTCAGAATCTCCCACCAATTCAAAACATCAAAGTGAAGAGGAAGGGAGAAAATGAGTCCCCTTGTCTAGGTCCTCTATTCGCAAAGCTCTTTCCTCTCGGTCTCCCATTTATAAAAATTGAGAAGTTAACGGTTGAGATTCAACTATTATGGAAAAAGTAATATGTCTTCTCCTTGAAGAAAGAGTTGAGCAGATGTAGAGGAAGGGGAGAGAGAATATGTATATATTTCTTTTTATTTTGATATGTGATGATATATATGAACATTATGAATGAATTAAAAATTATAGCATCTGGAAAAACTAATGTGAGGGACTGCATGACCTATTTCTTGAAACTCAAAAGCTAAATTTGGACTTTTGAAAACGCAAAGACTAAGGTGACCTACAAGTGAAAACTCAAAAGACCAAAAGAGTAATTTTCTCAATATCTTCTGTTCTTGCATTATATTTGTATATTTTGCCTCAATGATTTTTTCTTGTAATTAATCTCAATAATTGTTATTTACCTCTAATAGTTTTCATGTTGTATCAGTTTGTTTATTTCTGCCAATGTTTTGGTGCAGTCAGTTGTCTGGTTTCTATCAAGATGGTCATCAACGTATTTACTTCACCCTGAAGAAATTATCACTAGCAATTGCAACTATGGTAAAGAACATGATCACGAGTTCCAGCCACAGCATACAAGGAAAGTTCTTTACAGCTTCTTTGGAGAACATGGCCAAGGATTACCTATACTTGACATTATTGTTCGCATATCAGCAACTACACTTTTGTCGTATCCTGGGGAAAAGGATTTGCATGTATGGTTTTCCTCTTCAATTTTCAATGCTGCTTTAATTTGATCAAACATTTTATCATTTGTGATAATGAATGTGTGCAATTATTTGTAAATATCACCTCTTTAGGAGCTTTCCGAGGTATATTTTAACTACATTCTTGATTACCATGAAACCAAGGACAGAATAACTGTTCTGAACATGACTTCTGAAATATTTTTAATAATTTTTTGTGACAAGTCAAACCAGGGAAACCATAAAATTATTGATTAGTTTGGTTTTTGGGTCATGTATGACAGGCAATGCTCTTCAGTCTGGAGCATGAACTACAAATTTTTTATGTCATTTTATAGTGAATCGACTATTATTATTTTTCCTTACATGATAATCATCAATGACACAAACACAAGCATTTTAAATATAATTCTATGAAAATAAAAATAAAAAACCGGGATGTTGAAAGGTCCTTGTAGCTATTCTCTGTATTGAAGCCATTCCATCTCAACCTGTAATCCCTTCCATGCAGATAATATCAATTTTTCCATTAGCGATCTTGATCAGGCTCATCTCGTGTGCCACAACAAGCATCGGGTTTGTAGTTTGTTTTATCCTGGCTTTGAGAAATGGGATCCTTCCTTGCATGCAGTAGAAAAACAAAAAACTATGCCATGCTATGGAGGTTGGATTAACCTTCGAAATAGACAGGCGATGCTTTCAAAGGCTTTTAAATTGTGACCTTTAAAATATTAAGAACTTAAACTTCATAGAAGCTCTCATCAAGATCAAAGCTGTTATCATAGATTTATTCTGGCTGAGATTGGTGTGAAACTGGAAATGGCAGCTCTGGAGTAGTGGTCATTGTTCCTTCGGAAAGTGGTAATTGGTCGATTGGGAGGACCCTCACATGGAAAGGTACTTTCTCTAGAAATGCAGCACCTTCTTTTGATGAGTTGGACTCAATGTTAGATATCTCCACCCTCTTTCGTTTAGTTGGACTCAATGGTAGTGGTTGATGTCTGCACCCTCTTTTGATGAGTTGGATTCAGTGGTACATGTCCTTCACCTCAAAGGAAATGTGGCAGTAGGTAAAGAGGATGAACCCTTGGTTATGTGTGAGCAAACAAGATGAGTCTTCTGAGCAACCTGAAAATACAGTACATGGAATAGAAGAAATGCACGGATTTGACATTGTAAAATAGAGAAGCCAAAGTCGTTTAACATTATTTGTTACAAAAGGAATAGGAAAAGTGGTGGCTGCTTTTGAACCTAACTAAAGGGACGACAGACTCCTTTTATCATATATCCACATGGTCGACATCCTAAAAATAAACTAGAGCGATCCAGTAAAAGCCCAAGTGCTATGCTGAAAAAAGAAAACTGAATACTTAGAACCAACTAACAGATAATTATTTTATAGTTCGAAGAACGCAAATCTTATTCCCGATCTTGCTCAGAAGCTGGCTCTTCTAGTTTCGTCTTAAAATATTTAACCACATCTCAAGGATGAGTAAACCACCAATCTAACCCAAAATCTTAAGCTTATTGGTCGGGTAAATTTAATTCATATATCTCAACACTCCCCCTCACTTGTGGGCTTGAAAAATTACAACAAGACCTAACAAGTGGAAATCAATATAAATGGGGAGGAAATAACAATGCAGGGGTTCGAATACAAAACCGCTCTGATACCATCTTAAGGATGAATAAACCACCAATCAACCCAAAATTTTAAGCTTATGGGTTAGTTAAATTTAATTCATTTATGGATATCTCAACACCGCCAAATGAAGATGGTTGATCAAGCCTTAAATCCATATCCCCAAAGAGACTCTCTTTTTGTTATTTTGGAGAATGATTTTCGCTCTCTCTTCCAAGTAGACCAAGCAGAAGCTTCAAGAAGCTCCTCTAATCTTTGGGAGTGAATACAAGAAACGTCCTAGCAAAAGGAGAGTAAGGCTGATAAAGTAGAAGTAGATCATACTTTCTAGGCTGTGAATTTGAGCATTCCATCCCTTATGCAAGTCTGTTAAGAAACAAAGTTATGCAGGTTGGATATGTTGTTGGCGGAAGGGAATTATGGTAACCAACTTTTGGTTACCAAAAACAGAGGATGATTTCGGGGTTGTGGGTGGGTGGTGTGGGGCAAAGTGACCTCCTCCAACATCTCATGTGTCAACGCCTCTTGACAAAAGAACTGAAGAAACCATACTGAATATTATTTCTTGCTCACTTTTGGTCGTGTAATTTTGTAAGAATTATTGAAAGCAAGGCATATTAGCATTTCATTCTTGAGTCTAATAGTTTTTCTTAGTTAATGATGTTGCATGAAGCTGCTCTCTTTGGGAGAAGGGACACCTTGTCCCTTGTTAGGTCTTCACCTTGGCGTTTTTTTGAATGGAAGTGTTGCTATGTTCCTTAAAAAAAAAAAATGATGTTGCGTAAATCTTCTCTCTGTTGGTCCTATATCCATTTATTTTGTTATGACTATAGTAAGTAAAAAGGGCAGAGGAGCTTGAATTCATGCGTTAGTTATTGTATTGTTTCTTTATAGCATTTATTGTTTGTAATGTTCCTTGTGTAATATTTTTTGTAATTTAACAGGCACTCACATGTAACCAACTGCTTCATGCACTTGTTCGCCAGAAACATATTTGCAATCATCTGGTTGCGCTGGTGAGTTAGTGTCAGACACTGTCATATGGCCGGCTCTATTTCTTCTTTCCATGCTTAGAATTCTGCCTATAGAAATAAGTATCCATCTAAGTTTATGGTTGTCCATAGACATGAAGATATTCATTTCTATGCCAGTTTGAAACTTCTTTTGTCATGCTCTTAATAATTCTTAAAGGTGCATAATTGTCTTTAATGCTTGAATAAATGATTTGACTGCTTTTCATGTGTTTTTGATTGTTCAACTAAATTCTTGTTTTTTAGCCATTTGCTTAGGTTACACTAATCTAGTTTCTCAGTGAGCTTTGATTGTTGACATTGTAGAGAAATTTATGTGATAAAAAGGCTTAAAAGTAATTATGCAAAATAATCACTCAAAAACCACTTGAAGGTAGAGTATTTTAACATCTGGTTTCTCTTTGTAATACAAATCAGTTTGGGAAGGATCACTACTGAATGTGATTCATTTGAGAAGTTCATGGCATAATATAATTTCAAAACTATTTTTTCAGTTAAACGAAACCAAGGAAAAGGAGCTCTTGACAGGATGGTCTTGATCTATGTGACATGTTCTCAAATTGTTAGCTTGAGTTTCATTGCTGCTGATTATTTGAGCCATTCACTAGAAAGGCAGCTAGTAAGGGTTTCATTTTAGGCTTCGTGATTGGAGACAGCAATGTCCCCGTATCATCCCACCTCTGCTAATGACACTCTTCTTTTATCCTCTTGAATGACTTCACTAGAACTAACTCATAGTGTAACAACCGAAAAAAAATATAAATATATATATTTAAATTATTATTAATTTTTAGTTGTTTTCTTTTATTTTCTGAAAGATAAACCTTTTTGGTTTAGAAATTATTTTTTGAAAGATAATTTGTTATTAGAATTTGAAAAAAATAAAAAGAAAGAGTTTTATTAAATCTTTATCTTTTTATTATCCTTTTTAAATAAGGATTCATTAGGGTTTGTTATAAAAGCCGTCAAACCCTAGGTTTTATTTTCTTAAACTGTTAGATCTAGTTTTCTCTCAAAGAGAAAAAGAAAAGAAAAGAAGAAGAGTTTTGGTATTTTCTCTCAAAGATCGGTAAGATTTTCTTCTCATTGTTTTAGTTTTATTTTTCTTGATTTGTGGTTCTTTAATTCAGTTTATTGGGAAAATTTTTGACGTCTTTGTTTTCTAGAATAAAAGATTTTAAGGATTTTTGCCCTAAAAATTTTCCAGAATTTTTGGTTTGAATCTTTTTGTTTATGAGATTGTTTTGGGCTATTTTGAGGCTCTTTTTACATAAAAAGTTTACATATTTGTATCATATAAATTATAGTTTGTTGTTATGATTTTTACATGAAAAATTATATGTTTTTACCAAATTTTAAAGGTTTTCTATAAAGCTTTCAGATCTGATTTTTTCTATAAAAATCAATAAATTGTTAATGGTTTTATGGAAAATTCTTGGAAGTTTTATTTTATAAAACAGAAAATTTTTCAGATTTAAAATCCCCAAATTTTCAATTATTTAGAAGGTTTTTAAGCTGGTTTTATTGAGAAACTTTTTGTAAATTTAGTTCGTATTGATTTATATCGATTCTTGTAATTTTAAAGGTTGTTATGGTGGATTTTAGAGGCTTTTTAACTCAGTTTTCAGATCTGGTTTTGTAGCCCCAAATCCAGACTTTCTTAATTATTTTACATAAAAAAGTGTTTTGAATGGGAAAATTGGGTAGATAAGATTTGAGTTAGTAATTGGTTGAATTTTAAATCCTTGGATAGGATTTAAGAATTGATTTTGGATATTGGTTGTTTCTAGGCCTCTAAGTTGACAACTACCAAGGAAGAAGTTAATTAGATTCGTAGGATTTCTGAAAGAGGTAAGTAATTTGTCATATCCCTTCGAAAAAGTATGGTAAGTAATTTACCATATCCCTTCGAAAAGTGTTGTAAGTAATTTGCCATATCCCTTCGAAAAAGTATTGTAAGTAATTTACCATATCCCTTCGA